AGGTCAAACTAGGTCACTGACCTAAAATCACCTAAGTCAACGTTTTTTTGGGGGGAGGGGGAAACAAACTGCCTAGCATAACCTTTGTCTCTTAAACAATTCAAAACTCTGTGAACTTTGTGTCTCTAGCCCTCTTAGTTGTTGAGATCTCAAGGGGTTCAAATTGACCCCCACCCGAACGAAGAGTATCCAACCGGCCTCCCGTGCGCGTGTTAATATTTCACAACCTGCCTTTTTAACGACGTCAAACTCAAAATGTGCTCGCTTGCACTTGGAGACGGAGCCCAGCCATGGTGCATTAAATGTCTTTCAGTCATCTCAACTCGGTAACTCAGACTGTGTCGGAACTGCCACGAGATCACGGATTACTTCAACGCTGACCCTTCCATAGGTACTAATTATGCCTAGGATTGCACACCCATGGCAACTGTGCCTAACGCAAGCCATCCCTAAACGCGGCAACGCGTCCAGTCCATCCACTCTAACAGCATCTCCGGCCACACGACACTTGACGGCCGTAAATGACTCAGTGGGATGAGGGGTGACACAGGCCGGTCGATAACCGCCTGAGTCCGGCCAGGGCCGACCAGAGCAGCCGGTGGGGTCGTGGCTCACGTGCCACGGGTATGCTCAGGGCGGTGAGGCGGGCGTGGTTCACATGTCCAGAGCCGGTATACCCAGAACGGTGAGTTGGGGTGCTGGCTCACGTGCGTTGGGTATTCTGGTCTGTTGCCGGCTGCTCCACCTCCGTGGGCAAGCCGCACAAGGTGGTGTTTCGTTGGCATTCACAGCCTCGGACCGCGGCACGCACTCGTTTAAGAATGGTCTGGGCTGTATTACAGACGTAAACGCGGCGATATGCGATACAATTACGCGTGGTCTCGCAAAGACGCCATCTATGGCCATCGCGGACAAGATTTGAGCTACTGAATCGATCCACCAGCGTTTCCAGTGACGATCCAGATTTCTCGAGGGACGCTGACCCGAATGAACGCCGGAAATCAACTTCAGTGGTTCGCAATGCGCAGCCATCGGCCAGATATTGCTCTGCCATCGGTGGTTGATGGCTAGATCGACCCGTGAGGGCTACAACAGCACGCGTGGTACATACAAAGAAACAGGCCCGCTCCTGCGCTTCCGCCCCCTAAATTTGGCTCCGGACCTACTTCTGTGGGGCAGCAACATTGAGTTAAACTGCCAGTTGCGTTAACAAATCGACAGCACAAAATAAGCAAACATCTTTTGCTTTGCGGTCACACGATTTGTCGTCAAATGTGCTCTTTGTGGTATGCACATGGGTCGGATGCGCGGAATACAACCACAGCAGCAGTGCCACGACGGGGTGCGGTACGGTCAGGACAGCGCGTCTATAACGTCTCGCCCAAATCGCCCCCCCCCCCTCAGAAGTCTAGATAGCTCCAGAAATAAAACCGATTTTGTGCAGAACAAAAATTTACCATGGGTTGCCATAGTCAAAAAGACGATTTTGGACAAGTTTAGGGCCATTTTGTATCTCCAGGAATAGATTGATGTTTCATCTCTGCGGGTCAGGTCCCAATTGAAGGTTCATCGCCTGCAAAGATCAGAATGTCATCGCAAAGGGGACCTGTCAGGATGCTTTTACTGGACTGGATTATAGCGAGGAAGCATTTGCCACGCTTGATTAAGTAGTGATAAGGCATATGTTCAATTTGCCTTGCGGCGATTCTGTTTCAACGTAGTCACAATGACCAGTAAGCCACATAAAGCAGAGGGAGAGTAATAATTGATCTCAGAATACAGACACGACAAAAACAGGAATCTGGAGATCATGTACACAGATGTTCAGACCACGCCATCCTCAACTCGGAGGATGTCGGTAGCTGTCCTCCTCTCTCCTTTTCCTTCCCCTAAGGTAGGATGTGATGAGAGCGAGCGAGTCCGACAACATCTGTGACATGGCTCGACGCTCAGTCTGACTCACTGAACACTCCCACTGACCCGACTCAGTCTCCATCTGACTGACTGGCCACTCCCACTGACCTGACTCAGTCTCCGTCTGACTGACCGAACACTCTCATTAGTCTCAGTGCTATACAGTCGGAACAGAGCCGCCACCGCGTTACCCGTTCCCACAAACAACCGGCCTACTCAGCACTCCAAAGCAAAGCTTGAAAACTTCTTTACAGGGACCCAATAATTGCTTCTCGTCTCGTTTCATAAATAAGGTCATTGGCAGCTCACCCTCTAACCTGTTGAGAGCCCATTGGTCATTGCATCACGCGTGGAAAAATCAACCCTTTACTCCAGAAACGTTCCACCAGCTAAATCGTACAATTTCAAGGAGAAGCGGACCAACATTTGACCCACGGCGACTGTATTTCACAAGACTGACTTTATGAAAGCTTCGAAAAAACGAGACCATTAGCCTGAGCATCTTTAAATCCTACCGCGTGAGCACAGTTCCGCCAGGCATAAACAGAGAAGGAGCATGGACGCGTTCTACTCACACTCCATTTGCAAGTCGGAGTCTGAGGTAGAATGACACCTTTCTCACTCACGCACTTATACTGCGCAGTTAAGAAGAACGACTATCTGTTTTCGTTCTGTGACTCTAGGCCAGTTTTCAATACTCCACAAAGTTAACTTGTTTTGTAGGCATTTAATTGCAAGTGTGGTTCACAATCATGTCAATACAACGCATCTACACATGTAGGACCCTTTCGCGGCTCGGAACGGTAACGGACGCGTCATTTCTATGTGTGGATTATATCGAAACAGACACGAAGACAGATCGTTGGCTTGGGAAGCCTTTATGAAAAGGCCTCTTCAATGCCCTTCCATGAGACTAGCACTCAAAAGTGACGGGAGAGTTCGAGCACACACTGACAAATGACTTGGCTTGCATATTGACTAATTTTGGACCTGGTCAGGCCTGGCAATTCTCGTAAACGAACTTTGTAGAATTAAGTGGTGTATATATTCGATGATTACTATTCGGTGGCTATTCAAGAAAACGGTAATGCTTCAGATGGGTGTTGGTCACAGTGAATTGGCCTATGCGCTGTAATTGTCATTCTTGCCTAGACCACATGTCACATGCCTTCTCTTGTCTAGACCACATGTCTTTCGCCTCGGGCATGGTTGTTTGAATTCGAGACCAGGTTAGAAAGGGTGTAATCGGTCGCTGCCTGATCTATTAGTTGTGCGCCCACGGCCTGACAGTGTTAGGGCCACTTTGCTATTCATACGGTCGTCTGCTCCATATAGCTGGTTTCAAGCCTTAACTTTCCATTGGTTGCTAACATTTGACAGCAGCCTTAGAAACGCCTCCAAGCATGCGGATTCGTGGGTTGGCTGGAACAGCCAGCGACCAGATGCCAACAAAGACGCAGGTTTTTTCCAATGTGGATGTCAGGTTTCTCTTTTGTCATACTGTATTAGTGTCTTGTCGCTGCAACACCTGGCCCTCGAAACCCGAACTTGGTCTTCATTCGTGCTCCGTGAACTTTTCCCAATTGAATTATTTTATGTCCCAAGTCATTCGGAAGGGAAAGCCTGCAGAGGTAATGCCATATTGGATGGAAACGCAATCTGACCAGACAAGTTACATGTAAGTTATACACATATTGTCAATCACATGCAAATTATTTATTATTGACGTAACTAATAATGATTGTTTATTTTCTTGATTCATGTATTACATATAAATCATAAATCATTATGTATTATATCTAAATGATTGAAGATATTATGCCACACCTTGTGAGACTACGCTGCTGGTTGTTGAAAGTGTCATGGCAGTATGAGCAGTGATTGCCAGTATTTGATCTCGTCGGCGCATGACCGACCGGGCCAGGGAAGCCACGCTCGGTTACAGCATCTCTGGTCAGCTGACGGAAGGTCCGCTAAACATGCCATCCCACTTGTGATAACCACGTCATGGCAAAATATGTAATGGGCGAAAGGCAAAAAAACCGACAGCTTTGTGTTTTCAATGACCTTCAGTAGCATGACGCATGTCACGTGGGACAAAGGAGTTCGTGACGTAATTTCCGTGATCATCATGCAGATGATACAGTGCGCATTTGGAGAATCTACATGAATGTTTTCAGTGCATTGATATGTTAATATCTGAAAAATGGTTGACGGAGAGGCTTATTGGGACAGGCCCAATGTCCTTACTCGGATCGGCGTGAAAATATAAGCTTCCGGTGAGGCCTGGCAGGGCGGGCCGCGTGCCGCATATTTGGAAAGAAAATCGTCCATTGCTCGCATTATGATTATTGCGCCGTTTCTCTAAGTGGCTGGATACCAGCACGACAAGTAATTCATGATGCTTTTAGCCCGCGGAAGCTAACTATTGACTAACTGTAATCCACGCTAATGTTCGAGCATTTACCGAATTTGCTCTGCTACTGTAGGTACACCAACAGATTTGATGGCAACAACAGCTGCATTGCTTGCCATTCGCGTTACAACAGCAGCTGTGGTTACAGCGCAATGGCTGCAAGGCAAATGCGTGCCCAGGGCTGATGACGCTTACGAGAGTTTTAAGACGCACAGCCTTCGGAAATGTATGCGACAAACAAGCCTGCTGAAAAAAAAAACAGCCGGGATGTTTCAACCGAATTGAATGTTGACAAACGTCGTTTGACGAGGCGACCGTCGAACGTCTGTCGTAACTAACCACGGTATCTCCTCCTTCGACGAGTCCCGTGCGGCATGTTCATCCATGTTGTTCCGGCTGGTCTGGAATCGCCCACCTGGGGTTTGATGACGCCGACTGGAGCTTGGCCAGTCGATGAGGTGTCGGCTGCCAAAAATTATGGGACCATCGATCCCGCCAACCGGCAGGTACGCTGCCTCGCCCGAAACAAAGAACCTGATCAGAACTCCACCTGGTTTATCGGAGACACGTGGATCACAACATCCACCTCGCGCGTCGGTACTGCTCCTGCCGCCGGACGTCAGCCAAGCTGCTACATACTCGACACGCACCCCTCTGAGGTCGCACTGACCCGCGATGAAGCACCAGGAGCCGGCGCCAAGCTGGACCGCCAGCTGGGTGCCGGCCGACCGCCGCAACGGCGGCGCTGACCACCGCAGTCGTCACCTCCGCCGCGCCGCGTTAGCCGCCGGCACGCCGCTGGCACGCCGCCACGGCCGGCGGCACCCACCTGGTGCAGCTCGGCGGGAGCGGCGGAGCGCGCGGCGCCGCCGCCGGCCGGCTCCGAGCGTCCAGCTCCACCTGCCGGCCGCTCAAGCGTCGCTCGTCGGCGCGCTTCGATCGGCACCGGTGCCCGTCGACGACTGCGTCGAGCGGCCCGAGCCGCCACCGGGCGGCGCCGGCGCCGGCGGCGGCGGGGGGCGGCACAGCTGAGCGGCGGCGGCGCGGCCAGGGACAGCTCTGACCGCCGCGCCGGCGACCGTGAGGATTGCGCACCGCCCGCGGGCAGACTCGGTCAGCAATCTCGTGCGGTCACCACATCTGCCTGCGGCGATGTCAACGGTCGATTGCTGGGGCAATCTCGTGACACCTGTGGCCGGGCTGGCCGATAACAGGCACCGACGTATCATCCCAGTGATTTTCCGTGAAGCCATGCGTTTGCTTTATTCGAGAACTCGCGGTCGTAGGTGCAACTCCCATAAAGCGTATTTATGTGTCGGCCTCCGCAAAAGATGTGCGCATGTATGTACTAGGATACACATGTTTTGCAAAACCCCGCGCGTTGACGCACCGGGCTATCCAATGACAACATGACTGACTGTGTGAAGATATGGATGCTATTTATCTCGCTGACTTCTACTTGCATTTCAACTTGACGTGCTCCGAAATAGATAGGCAATCGGTGGATGTACCACGTGATATATAATCCGGTTTCCAAAAATCAGGAATGACGAAATGAGACATCTTTGCATGGCGTCAAGAAGGCACTCTTTCTCATCACCAATTCAAACCATCGCCCCTTGGTGATAGCGTTACCGGTCTGCGGATAGTAACACTGCCACCGTTCGCATGATCGCGCGGCAAACCTGATGCAATGGCCATAATGTCCGCTGCATTATGCATCATCGCGTGCACAGGCTAGCGCCAATGGTGCCGCGGCCTCTTGAACCGGCCGCCGTGCTCACGACAGTGACATGACCTTTACGATCGATACCGGAGTTCTGAGCGATCCAGTCGCAAGTCTTCTGGCACCGCCTAAGCCTGTCATTAGCGCGCCCCAAGTTGTACAAACGTTCATGAAGTGAACTATGCAGCTGATGCTTATGTTTATGAAAGAGTGATTGCAGATTCCATCCCAGGATCGCGCGCATTTTTCTGAGTGTAACATCAGCTCTGTACTGCGTTATATATAGCGCCAAACCCTGCTGTTTTACTGAGTTTACGACGCGCAACGGTCCATACTCTGCGCCGGACTCCATAAGGGGCACTTCGCCCTCCACTGCCACCTGGGGGTAAAAAGCACGTCATTCTGCTATCTCATGTTCCAACCGTCGGATTGGAAATATTCGAACGTAAATCCATATCCCCGATCAGAGTTAACCAATTATGGTTTAGGCAACATCTGTCGCGCAACTTATGGCGTCAGAAATCGCGGAAATGCCGAGTGCCCCTAAGTGCACCTCCTTTTTCTTTCCGTTTCTCCTTCAAGTATAAATTAAATGAAAACGCGCATCAATTTAGAATGATGCATGCAAATGCATTTACAAACAGTCATGGTAACATTACTTTCAAGCTTGACGCTCACGAGGGCGCTTACTCAAGCGCCCTCCTTTCCGTTCAAAACATACGGCAGTACGCCTCTTGGCCTCTCGGGCCATGCCAGCACACGACTACGGCGGCATCCAAGGTATGGCGGTGCCAGAGTTGCTTCAGTCGCCCTGGTTTCTACGGGGATTTTGAATACTCACAGCTGAGGTCCCCACATCAATACAAATCTGGGGGAGGGAGAAAGCTGTTGCGCTGGCCCAGGTGAAGTTATAAGGTGCGAGGCCGAGATGAACATAAACAAGTTTGGTTCTCTCATCGTTATGCAGCTGTCCCATGTTGGAAACTGAATCGAGTGATACCAAAATCGCTTGGATTAAGCTTTAAATGAATATGTAATAAATACAACCGCGCGCTATGTTTGTAATATCTGTTTTTATTTTAAATGTGGCAATTTTTGGACACCCACTTCCTTAAAAAGCATCACAATGCGTAATGTTACTTATCTTATGCATAATATTCCCGCAGGTGCACTTAACAAGTTACGTAATTTGACTGACGTTGTATCAGGCATGCAGGTCAGATAAAAGCAGTGCACATTACTATTCGTTGTACCAAAACAACTTGCACTATTTTAAAGATTTCCCGATGAGAAGCATGCTGCCTTATGTAGTGCTTGATGCTCATTTGAAATTTCAGCATCGAACAGGTTGGAGGGTCTTAGGTTATTTTGATCTTCCAGTGGTTAAAAGTGTCACTGATGTCATATGACGCTAGGAAACATTTTTTAGAGCAGGTATCAAGGTGAAAGCTTGTTGCATGAGAACTTCTCGGAGTACTTAGGACACTGATCTTGAGTTCGACCTTTTTTGACTTTATCTGACCCGAAAGTTAAGACAAAAGACGTGCAAAATATCATACAAACTAGTTCACATACAGTCCTATCTTCCCAGTGAATTCTATATCTCCATATTTCCTGGCTTATGATGTCCTAGTGGATTAAACTTGCCTCGCTGTTCCAGAGCGTGCTGGATTTAACCGGTGACACCAAAAACATCCAAGGCAGGAAAGAAAACTGTGGATCGTCACATCTAGCCGCAAAAATATCCGTTAATAACCCATACATTGATGATTGCTTTCAAGGACCAGTGATCCGACCCAAATCACATCTTTTATTACGGAACTTGTCGAATTAGTCCCTACTCAATAACCACCACAGAAAATTGGGGGAATCCAGCTAGAGTTATTAAAAAATTCGCTGAAGGTTTCTGTTTATCTTCAGACGACCGTGAGCAAAGAACGTTGGGTTCGTCCCCAAATAAAAATTTGTCTGCCCTAGAGCGTCATTTAGGCCTGCCGTTGTCTGAGATTTTTCGGACAAAATCTTAAATCCTGAAGACCAAGTCCTGCCACAATTTGGCACGATCTCTGCGTTATCTTTACAAGCATCAGTTTCGTAGCTCATGTCTCCGCAGATGGACTTAATGGCTCAAGCTCTGCTAATTTCAAACGTTTCCATATTCACATGCGTACATCAGCACTAAGATAAGTAGCGTTGCCACACTCCTGTCGAAACTGGAGCACGTCGTGGTTGATTGTGGAAAGATGAGTCCAGCTGTTTTATTTTACGGTCTGGCGTCCAACGGCTTGCCAATGCTATTGTGCTTATTTCTCATGTGGAAAGTACTTGATGATTTTAGTCAGATCACGAAAAAGCTAGATGGTTTTGATGTTTCACCATGCATAAGCACTAGAGTGTGTCATCGAGGGGATGAATCTCTTGGAATCAGCTGGGAACAAGTTTTTCCCTGGCACACATATTAATGATTAACTTTGAGATCTGTCGCACCGCACCAATGTTGATATTCGTGAGGCGGGAGCAGTTTTTCTTTGATATGCCAAGAAAGCAGTATTCGATACTAGCGCCACCTATTTTACGTACTGGGATCATCCTCCAACAAACCTCAAAGCTGCCACTTTCCACACTACTGGTACTTGGTGGATTCGGTATGAAATAGATATCATGAAGAGCACCGGCAAAATATTGCCAAACAGCTTTTAAGCTGCCTTTTTAGTAAAGAACATTAATTTTTGGTAGAACCCAAAGCTGTGCAGTTATGAAAAATGTTCCATCAGACCGGGTTAGGTCCAAGTTCGTTAATGCTAACGCATCCTTGTGATGTTGAGTTGCGATTTATGTGCTTTTTGCGTGGGAAATATGGGTTTACTACTTTAGTTTTGCTGGTACTAAGACATTTCTGTCGAACAATTACTTGTATAAGCATGCCAAAGGCTGCACGGTGTCGCACCAAACATTTTGTGATAGGCCGCCCGGCTCTATTATCTCACCACCAACTGCCGACTACGGGAAAACACTGAGCTTCATCAGGTGGCTGAGTGAATCGAAGAGGAATCTCACTAACACTATCTTCAAGACCGCGATGGTAGAAATCAGGATACTGTGGACCAATAAAGCGATCCCTGTTCATGATCTAAAACACGTGACAAAATTGATCGAGAGTGATTGAAATCATCCCAACAGAGCTATCAGCAAGAGATCAAAGAAAAAAAGAGAGTGGCGCAGCAATGCCGCTACCGCGAAATTCAACAAGCTTCTTGATGTCGTGAAATGCAAATGCAAGCCGCCTGCACAGTGTATCAGGAGGAGGTTGCCATGAAGGGCCAGTGCAGGCACCGGAAGCTTACCCCGGGGTCATATCACTGGGATACAGTTGTGGCTAGGGAGGCTCGCGAGATGCGGAGGATGACCAGGCACCTAGGCTTGGTAGGCTTGATGCGCACTGGGCTGACGTCATGTGCGACGTCCCACACTGAATCTTCCCATAATTTGAGACTGTTTGCTTACTGGACCGGAAGCCTGACGAGACCGGAACCTACAGGCCTATTGGCCTTTTACAATTCCCGATCACCATAAGGTAAGGTAAGGTAAGGTAACTCCAGAGGCGTCGTGGCTCGGCCGCCAGTGAGGCGGTGTCTGCTGCTGAACCTGAATTGCCTTCTCCGCCGACTGCTGAACCGACGCCACCTGCTGAGCCAGCGCTGGCCGCTGGTGCTGACCCCGAGCCTGATCCGGGAACAGGTGGTCTCAGTGCTGGCGAGTCAGCCGAGAGCACGGATTTTTAGACGGCCCCGTACATGGTAGAAGGTGGCGACGACGCCGACTGTTCGTTCCGGTTGAGACCACTGTCACTGTGCATTATAAAGTCAACGATCTGACTAACACTCTGGCGGTTGGCAGCTACGGTGGCTCAAACCGGGCCGCTGCTGCTTCATCAATGCCTTTCAACAACACAGCAGAGACGGACTGGCTACCTGAAATCAAATATCGTAGATCCTAAGAAGA